TCTGTGTATTTGTTTTCTGATTGCTTAGGAATAGAACCTTGGAAGGAACCTTGGAGATCTTCAAGTCCAACACTCTGCACAAGGCAGGAGTCCTTATACCATCCCAAATAAAAAATGGTCCAGTGGACGTGCAATGGAGCACCTACAACTCCAGGAGATAAGCTGTTCTGCTGATTAATTGTTCTCACTGTCAAGAAATTCCTCCTTAGTTCCAGGTTGAATCTCTCTTTGACGAGTTTCCACCCATTGCATCTTGTCCTGCCTCAGGTGCTTTGGAAAATAAATCAACCCCCTCTTCCCTGTAATAGTCCTTCCAAGTATTGGAAGATGGCTATCATGTCATCCCTAAGCATGATCTTTGTTGGACTAAACATACCTAATTTTCTTAACTGTTTCTTGTATGATTTAAACTCTAGGTGCTTTATCATCTTTGTTTCTCTTCTCCTCATTCTTTCTAGAGCTTCACCATCTTTTTTGCATTGTGGTAACCAGAACACAAAATATTCCAAGTGTGGTCTTACTAGTGCAGTATAGAGTGCTAGTGTCACTTCCCATGATATTGATGTTATCTTTCTGTTTATGCAGCCTAAGACTGCATTGGGTTTTTTGGCAGCTGAGCCATACTGCTGACTCATAGTTAAGCATCTACTAGGACAGATTTAGAACTTTAGGCTCCCACCCTTGGCTGCACCTCCTTTGCCTCGAGCCTCCCGCCTCAGCCCATTTACAGCCAGATTTCCTCCTCCCTCGGCCATTCTCCTGGCTTGGGGTGGCAGGTGAAGATCGCTGGTGTGGCTTCTGCCATTGCATGGGGGGTCATGTCATGGGGGCAGCAGGAGAACAGCGCTGGCATGATTTCTGCAATTGTGGGGGTGGGTGGGTCTGTGCCATTTGCCTGCCACCCCATGCGGATGGGAAGAAGATGCTAAGATTCTAAAAAGAGTAGAGAAGAGCAACAAAGGTTATTAGTGGACTGGAGGCTAAAGCATACAATGAACAATTGCAGGAACTGGGAATTTCTAGTCTAACAAAGAGAAGGACTATTGATGACATGATAGTAATCTTCTAGTGATTGAGAGGCTGTCACAGAGAAGGAGGGGGTCAACTTATTCTCCAAAGGCAGAACAAGAAGCAATGGGTGGAAGCTCATTAAAGAGAGATTCAACCTAGAAGTAAGGAATAATTTCCTGACAAAGTAATTAATTAGTGGAAAAGGTTAACTTCAGGGGTTGGGGGTGCTCCATCACTGGAGGCTTTTCTGGACAGCCATTTGTCCAGAATGGTATAAAGTCTTCTGCTTGAGAAGAAAGTTGGACTAGAAGATCTCTAAAGTCCCTTCCAACTCTGTTATCGTAGGTTGTAAGGTGAAGAACAAAAGGGCCACTCTCAATGATAGGGGAAAGAGGTGGAAATATTCCACAAGTCAGACCTTCCGATTTTTTTCGACAACTTTCCAGTTGGTGTGGTTGGTTGTTAAGACTCTTATTAGATTTGTTTCTGCATTTCTCCCCATGTTATTCTCCTAGTGACAAACATTTCAGATGACTTGTTGCTATTCAACATTTTATGCACTGCTTGCATGATAGATTAAACTTTGTTTTAAAACAGTCAAACATGTAATTGTTTTATTTGAAAGTTAAATGCACTGAGCTTTTTTTAATCTAGTACAATCAATTATAATTATAATGAGCAGTATTTAATAAAGTCAGAGGAGGGCGCCAAAGATTTAGAGATTTACACTGCAACTCAGAAAGAGAACCGAAGATCTACAATACTATATTGATATAGAAAAATACATTGTTCAAATACAGTATATGGAAAGGTCAGTAAACAAATAAATACAAGCACATGACTGCTATTTAAAACAACTATTTTGTAATTATGAATAAATTATATAAATATTGGGTTGATATGGACTTTAGAAGGGTTGGGAAGTCTGAAAAATATGATACTGGAAATATATTTGCACATCACTAAAATGAGGGGGGGCGGGGAAATGGGCAGCTTAGAAAACCTGTAAATGCCCAGGAAGTTTTTAACTAACCAAAAAGATAAAAACAACTGTAGAAAATGTAACAAGAATTCTAAGTCTGCCAAAAGTAGGTTATACCTGCAGGAAGAATATTAGAAAGACCAAGGAAGGAAACTTAAACACAACTAAAAGAGACGTATATGTGTTCTAATAATAAAAGAAAAAAAGAGAAGTGGAAATGATGCAAGAAAAAGAAGATAGGGAGAAAACAGAGTTTCAGTACTAATATGCTTCCTCTTTTCTTCAAAAGGGAACTATGTTAAAACTGATCTAGGCAGAACAATTGACAAAAGGAAGGAGTAGCAAATCAAGGTAACATTTAAGTGCATTTAATTTTCCAAAACAAGATCTTAAAAGTCTCTTTCTACATGTTCAAAAAATCATGGACAACAGGCATAATGTCAGAGAGTTACAGAAGGGCAGATTTTACTTTTCCTATCTTAAAACAATAAAGCCCAACAGTTTATATATTCTATATTTGGGACTATTATATTGAAGGAATTTTATTATGCTTAAGGTTGATATTAGTAATATTGATATTAGTAGTGATACTTTGTAATCATTATATATATATATATATATATATATATATATATATATATGTATGTATGTATGTATGTATGTATGTATGTATGTATGTATGTATGTATGTTTGTTTGTTTGTTTGTTTGTTTGTTTGTTTGTTTGTTTGTTTGTTTATGTGCAAGCAGCTTTGTCGGTGTTTTGGATTGGAAAATTAGTTATACAGAAGCAAATGTTTCATGCTTTAGATACAGGTGATTGCTTACATGAAAAGAACATGGTAAGGGGAGGTGGGGAAAGGAGTTACGGATGGAGCCTGGGTTGCTGTGTATGAGTCATCACCTAGGAATTATTTTTTTGTGTCATCTTATGCCTGGTACCAAGACCTGATCGTTTTGTTCTGGAAAGGTATAAAAGGTAGAAGACATCTTTCCTGGTTGTTGCCTTCATTTCTCTACCAGCCACGAAGAGAGATGGGGACACCAACTCTATTTTGATCAAAATAAAAGTTGTTTGCTTGCTGAAACCTCAGCTCAGGAGTTTCTTTGGCTCTTTTAAACTCCTGAGTAACACTGGGGCAATTGTGAAGCTAAGTGGAAAACCTTACAATATCTAATCAGTAAAGCATTACATAAAACATGAATTTTGCGGCTGAGCTTTAGTGGTTGTATTATAATTCTACTGGTTACAGAATACAAACTTGCTTGACTGAAAGCTTAAGCAATAGTTATATAATTCTTATGTGAGTACACAATACTTCAACCATGCTGTTCTATTTTTGGCATATAAATCATCAATCAGTGAGGCAGAAGAGAAACCAGGAGAAACAGCAAACAGATCTGACGATAAGAAACTAACCCCACTGGTCCTAATTCTCAGCTGCTGCTTTAACTGCCCAGCCTGCGTGAATCCTGTCTCTATGAGTTGGAAAACTATAGGGCAAACTATTGGTTGGTGGCTGCATGGTGATGTCCTTGGACAGGTCTGGCTACATGAGCCATGGTGGCACAGTGGCTAGAATGCAGTATTGCAGACTAATTCTGCTGATTGCCAGCAATCCGATCCTGATGAGCTCAAGGTTTTCTCAGCCTTCCATCCTTCTGAAGTGGGTAAAATGAGGAGACAGATTGTTGGGGGCAATATGCTGACTCTAAACCACTTAGAGAGGGCTGTAAAGCACTGTGAAAGGATATTTAAGTCTAAGTACTATTGCTATTGCTAATGGAAGTATGTCATACTTCTTGCACAGTCCCTTTCTGCATTCCAAACTGATATATACCAACTTGTCTTCCAGCATTTAAAATTCCATCTGACTATAGTATATTGCTGGAATAACTTCCATGATAGTCTAATCTAGTCATTGGCTTTATCTCTTTGGAAACTTTTAGTTTATATATATGAAATATATTCCAATGCATTTGTATGTATGAAGTGCATATAGGTATCCTAGAGATAAAACTACAATGAAGTCTGCCCATGGCCATTAAGCATCACACTTAATGAGTCTCCTATCCCTACTTTTCCCTATGCAATTGTTAAATGAACATGCACATAGTTAAGTAGAGCACAGTGTGCCTCAGGGATGGGGGAGGCCCTTGGAGGCCTAGTACAGGCTCTAGACCACCTTTCCTGGCTCTCCCATGATCTCCTCCACACCTCAGAACACATTGTTTACTTCTTGCTCCTTGGGCCCCCACAAGCCTTTTTCCTGTCCCACCAGATCTCCCCATGCCTGATTTTAGGCCTGATTTTCGTTCCACCAAGCTAAATGTCCTCTTTCTCATTACTTTCTAAAAAGCTTCAAGGTCTTCCAGAATGCTGCAATGGACTGCTTTATCCTGTAGCTGTAGACATTTCCATGATTCTGGAAATGTCCAGGCCCCAGGTTTGTCCCTGGACCACACAATGTGATTCCAGAATTGTGCCATGCACCCAAACAGCATTCCATAGTGACCCATTCCAGCACTGTGGAAGGCTTCAGAACTCTTGAAAAGATAAGTGAGGAGGAGCGTATGCTGAACATGGTGAACATCAGTCCTAAGATCAACTGGGAACTGTTGAGGGAGGGAAATGCTTGCAGGAATACAGTGTAGGGGGGAAGATAGGCTGGGGGGGGAGGGTGCTGCAGCATTCCTGTCGTCAATCATAAAGACAAATGAACATAGGTATGCTGCAGCAGCTATAAGTAGTCATAAGTAGCTTTTCAGGGTCTGCCATAACTTTCAAGTGACTGTAAGTTGAGGACTATCTGTATTTTTCTACAAAAAGTTTAGAAAACTGCATCTCAAAATTCAGAAACTATAAAAATCAAAATATAACTGATTTTAATGAACATATTACATTTGAAGTCTGTATTAAATTAATTTTAGATAATTTGTGAACTAAACACTTTTTTTCCTGCCCCTTTCCTTTCTGAGTTTTTAGTAGTAAAACAAAATATGTTCACCTTGCGGATGTATTCTTGTAATCCATTCACACCATACATTCGGAACACAAACCACATTTTCAAAGAACGGAATCTTCTACCTAAAGGAATCTGCCAGTGCTGGAGATAAAACACAAATGACTTTTTATTCAGAATGGAATTGTCATCAAGAGGAGTAATAGATTAAACACTATCAGATTGCTTAATAAACAAAATTAGGATAATAAGGAAGAATCAAGGATCTGAAAGAGCAAATGCTATGCCAAGTCGAGATTTTGTAGGACACAAAGCAAGGTGCCATAGCACAGGCAGGATATATATAGAACCCAGGCAAAATGTATCCTTTCACAACTGGCTCTTGTCTCAGGCATCTTTTCTCTAGTCCTCCCAATACCTGAAGAGCAAAGTTTTGATTGTATCCAGCCTTTTTGTTTTTCCTTGGCAACTGTAGAATGTGCAAATTATTATTGTTACAGGGAAAAGAGTACTTACCCTGTAATCTGTAATGCATCCTGTAAAGGGTTGGGGATGAGTAAAGAGAAACAATTCAATATTATTGTAAGTATGAATTTATTATTTTGCCTTACGATACTTCATGTAGCGTAAGCCATATATTCTAAAATTTTATATGGCAAATACACCTGAGCTTCAATGAAAGAAGCAATCTGTATAATACAATGGTAATTCAACTGAGTATGTATTTGGTAGAAAGTGCAAATCAAATTGTATGAAACACATGCAGAGAAAATCCACAAATACTATACACAAATAAATGATCCCATGCAAAATTTTCTGCATAGTTGAAGCTGTTGTTAATAATATTTAAGAAAATTTCCTTCCACTGCAACTGAACTTATGCCCATCCAAAGTTTAAAATACTTAAATATTTTAAATATTTAAAATAATTTATCAAGAAAATTAAGAAATGATCCAATTATATACTTCATTTTGTTTGATATAAGACTCTAATCCTAATTCCAGCATTATATCTTCTGTTGGACAACTCATATAATCCCTCACTCAATAGAAAGACAGCTCTATTAATAGGCCTATTGGCCTACTGCAATCACATGCAATATATTTAGAATACAGAACAATAGAGTTGGAAGGTACTTTGGAGGTCTTCTAGTCCAATCCTCTGCTCGAACAGGAGATCCCATACCATTCCAGACAAACGGCTGTCCAGTTTCTTCTTAAAAACTTCCAGCAATGGAGTACCCATGACATCTGGAGGCAAGCCATTCCACTGATCAATTATTCTCACTGTTAGGAAATGTTTTCTTAATTCTAGGTTGCATCTCTCTTTGATAATTTTTCATCCATTACTTTTTGTCCTAACTTCAGATGTTTTGGAGAGTAAGTCAACCCCTCTTCTCTGGCAGCCCCTCAAATAATGGAAGATAATACTGGAAAATATTGAATCCTTTATATTCAAAATACTGGAGCATGTAAGTTATGATGTGTTTCACAGGTGCACAGTCAGTAACATCATTCTAACAGAAATCTGTTAATTTACAGAGCAGCCACTTGGGAATTAATTCCTTTCAAGATGCATTGGAAAGGCAGAAATGTATAAAATGAACTACACTGAATGTGGAATGAATGTATCTTTGTTTTTACAGCTATACATTTTCCTTCCACCATCTCTTTCCTCATAGTCCCTTGTGTCTAACTTTCAGTTCTTCAAGCTGTATATGGGGATGGGGGAAGGACAGGAAAATAACTTGTTATTGGGTGCTATTTTATGGTAGATGGATATTGGACTGCTAGATATAATCCAATGAATAAATTTCTAGTAATCCAATAAACTATTGTATTTATGAGAATGTCTCGCTTCACTTTTCTTAAGAGTCTCAAACTGACTTCCAGCTATTATTCTAAGTGTACTTAGTAAATAAAATCAGTATAAAATTCTAAATTTTCACAGGTATGGAAATGATACACTCAATCTTATCCTACCTGTTTTCAAATATATTCTCTTTTTCATCTACTGGTTCTGAGTTGTCACAAACCAAACCACATAACATATTGGAAAATAAATTTATGCCTAGTGAATCTATATCATTTCCATTACATAATACAGTAACTCAAAATATTTTGTTTTTCTTTTAAAGCCGCCAATGGTACTATACTCTATTTATAGTTCCCAATACCTTTTTTAAAACAGGAGAGATAACATTTTTCCTAATAAAGCTATGCATAGCCCTACACAATAGATAGTAAACTAGGATACAAACTAAACTGAGGAAAACAGTTTCAGGGCTACAGCATAGAAGAGTATGTTACTGGGAAAATTCTGTCTGTCCTATTTACTTCCCATACTTGCCAGCTTTTTTATTCCCATTAATATAGCAAATATGTGATTTGAATATATAACTGAAGAAAAACATAATGGAACAGAGAGTAATTGAAAGGATGTAAATTCCAGTTACAAAGCAGGAGATATAAGAAACATACCCAAGACAATAAAGGACTTAAATGTTTATACACTAATGCTCAAAGTTTAGGGAACAAACAGGGTGAATTTGAAGTATTAGAACATGAAGGCAGATATGATATAGTTGCCATTACTGAAACTTGGTAGGCTGAAACTCATGACTTGAATGTACTGATGGAAGGATAGAAACTATTCAAAAGAATCAGATCTAACAAAAGAGGAGATGGAGTTGCATTATATATAAAAGATCACTACATCTCTACAGAAATACCCAACCAAGGATGAAAACCTCCTAGAATCCATATGGGTCAATATAAAATGGGGAAAAAATGACATTGCCATAGGCGTATACTACAGGCCACCAAGCAGAAGAAATAGATGAACTCTTTGCTAACCAATTAACAAATGTGTGTAGGAAACATACCACAATAATAATTACCCTGAGATCAACTGGGAGACAAACTCTGCAGCAAATGGGAGATCAAACAAATTCCTAACCAATTTAGCTGACAACTTTGTCATCTAAAAGTTAGAGGAGGGAACTAGAGGAAAACTATACTGGACCTAATTCTTACTAATAGAGAAGTAGTGATAGAGGAAGTTGAAGTTGCCGGAACCTTCGGCGAGAATGACCATGTCATACTGGAATTCAATATAATGCAATCACAAGCAATAGAATATAATCTAAACAGTGCCTTAAACTTTAAAAGAACTAATTTTAACAAACTCTAGAGAGAGCCTAAGGGAAATTTCATGGATAAAAGTCCTAAAGGGGAAAACAACTCAAGAAGCATGGGAAACACTGAAAAATATGATCATAAAAGCCCAGTTCAACACAATACCACTAAAAAAGAAAAACAAGAAATCCAAGAAGAAACCAGCATTGGTTGCACAAAGATCTCTCTGATAAACTGAAAGACAAAAAGGATAAGTACAAAAATGGAAAGAGGGACACATAACTAAGGCAGAATATCAGCAGATTGCCCAAATCTGCAAAGATGAAATCAGGAAAGCAAAGACTCAGAATGAACAAAGGCTTGCAACAAAAGTCAAAGATAATAAAAAAAAAGTTTCTTTTAACATATAACATATAACAAGAAAAATGTAAGGAAACAGTCAGTCCACTAAAGAGAGAAGATGGCAAAGAAGTAATAGGCAGTAGAGAGAAAGCAGAGCTGCTTAACTTATTATTTTCATCAGTCTTCATATAAAAAGAAACTGTAGCCCTACCTATCAAAAAAACAGACTAGAAACAAAAATTAAAATAAGCAAAAAATTGTAAGAGAATAGCTGTCTGATCTTGATGAATATAAATCAGTGGGACCTGATGGATTACACTCCAGAGTTCTGAAGGAGCTGGCAGATGTCATCTCAGAACCATTGTATCATATCTTTAAAAAAATTTGGAGCACTGGGGAACTACCAGAGGATTGGAAAAGAGCTGATGTGGTTCCCATCTTCAAAAGAGGGTCTGGGGAAACCAGACCCAGGAAACTACAGAACAATAAGCTTAACATCAATACCTGAGAAGATACTGGAAAAAATAAACAAAAAACAGATCTGTGAACATCTGGAAACAAATAAAGTTATAACTAGAAGCCAGCACACGTTTGTTAAAAACAGATCATGCCAAACAAATCTTATTTCATTCTTTGACAAAGTGACTAAATTAGTAGACCAGCAAAATGTTGTGGACATGGTATATTCAGACTTTAACAAGCCATTTGACAAAATAGACCATAACCTTCTTTTAGGTAAGCTAGATAGGGATAGACAGCATCAGTCAATCAGAATAGAGTTGGAAGGAACCTTGGAGGTCTTCTTGTCCAACCCCCTGTTCAAGCAGCAGACCCTATACCATTTCAGATAGATGGCTTTCCAGTCTCTTTTTTAAAACTTCCAATAATGAAGCACTCACAATTTCCTGTTGGTTCCTTCCTGCATAGGGGTTGGGCAGATGACCTCCATGACCCCTCCAACCTCTCCATTCTATTATTCTATGAATAGATTTGAATTATGGGAAATTTGGTGTCAATCTGAAAATTGATTGCTGAATATAATGAGCAGTGTGCAACACCAGTAAAGTATGCAAGAAAATAAGCAGACTATTGAACAGGGAGTCAAAGAAAGATGTGCCGAGTCTTTTGATTGCTTTATGGCTGGAAAATGTTTAAGGAAGGTTTGCAGTGGCATTCAAGGTGTCTGGGCTGGGCAAATGGATGGACATGGGCTTTGGCGTTTGTGTGAAGTGGTATTATTATCTGAGAAAGAGAGGGCTGTGCAGACAGTTCGATAGGCAATGAGGAATATGTATTTGAAAATAAATATGACAGAGATAGAAGTGGCTGCATTTGACAGAGAAAATGGATTGAACAATTGCAGGTTGTATGTAAATCGCAAAAAAACCCTACCAGAACAAGCAGATATCTGTACCTTGGCAGAATATTTATTGGGAAAATTGCTGGAGAAATTTAGATATGCAAATAACGGTAGAAAAATAATAGAATAGAATAGAACTGGAAGGAACTTTGGAGCTCTTCTTGTCCAGCCCCCTGTTCAAGCAGGAGAACCTATACCATTTCAGACAAGTGTCTGTCTAGTCTCTTCTTAAAAACCTCCAGTGATGGAGCACCCACGAGTTCTGAAGGTACCCCACTGCATCACAACCAGATGGATTTGTAACTGATTAACAAACTATATTCAATGAGTCATCCTTATTGGTACTACATCTATATAGAGGGAAGTAAGCAGTGGGGTACCACAAGGCTCCGTTTTAGGCCCAGTACTCTTCAATATCTTCATATACGACTTAAATGAGGGAATAGAAGGGGAACTCATCAAATCTGCAGATGACACTAAACTGGCAGGAATAGCCAAAAGACAAGCTCAAGATCTAAAAAAGTCTTGACAGACTTGAACAAAATGAAATTTAATCTGGAGAAATGCAAGGTTTTACACCTGGGCAGGAAAAACCAAAGGCACAAATACAGATTAGGCAAAACCTGGCTTAAAAACAGTAACTGTGAGAAGGATCTTGGAGTCCTACTGGATGATCACTTAAACATGAGTCAGCAG